TATAGAGCAAACGTTTATAATAAAGGGAAGGAAGCAAATACTTGATTTTTACAAACAATATGTTAAGTTACTTGAGTTTCCATATCCATTTGCTGAAGATTTCTGTAACAGATAATTCTGCCACCAAGATATTAAGGTCATTTTTAATAAGCCTTTAAACTATTCCTTTTGTCTCCTTATTCTGTAGGGGAAAAAAATGATGCTTTTTGAGAAGGATGGCTAAAAAGTCAAATTGCAGTAGAATGTAAAGTTAATCATCATTAAGTATTGTTTTAATCCCTTCACGAAGGAATGCCTTCCGGTCTTTAATATGGTCAGTAGTAATCTGTGTGATCTCTAGGACATACTAAGTGTTTTTCAGAAATCATTAGATTCCCACGGAGATTTTAGAAGGGATTCGAGACATTTATAAATAAATAAATGAAGCTGATCACATACTTTTATTTTTATAATGTACATTTACTTTTGAACAAATTTCTATAAATCAGTATTTTAAAGATTGGATTTATTATGAATATGCGTATATGATTAAGTACTGCTAAGTTATGTTTACTTCTGTTTATTCAGATTGGAAAGTTCTTTGAACTTATAAAGGTAATAATTGATTATTTTGACCTACCTTGGCTTCTTGATTCATGTGAGTACATGTACCAAGAACTATTTCATCTCTTTTATCTTGTATAGGGAAAGTATTGGTATAAAATATTGGATGTCCTACATATTTAAAAATCTTCAGAAAAAAAATCCTGATTACTTATAGTATAGGTTAAAGATGTAAGAACGATTTATCATTTTTTAAACTTTTTTTAAGGTGATGGATGTGGATACACCCTACTAGGCCCGGAAAGTGGAACCCTTACATCTATAAACTACCCGCACACCTATCCCAACAGCACTGTTTGCGAATGGGAGATCCGCGTAAAGGTGGGAGAGAGAGTGCGCATCAAATTCGGTGACTTTGACATTGAAGATTCTGATTCTTGTCACTTTAATTACTTAAGAATTTATAATGGAATTGGAGTCAGCAGAACTGAAATAGGTAGGAAACCTCTTTTTTTATAAATGCACGTGTAATACATCATTGCCCTGAATTTTAAAACTAAAGCAATTTTTGATACTTAACATTTAATAACTATGCCATATAAAGTGATACGTGTAAAATTATTGAAAACGTGGAAATCTCAAAGTTGACTCTTAGGAGGAGAATATTCTTGTCCGTTTATTTTGTTTACTTTTCAAATCAACCTGTTTTGTTGGTACCTTTGCACAAGATGCCATAGTACTACTGAACTTCTAAGAAGGAAGTTAAGTATCTTATTTTTTGTACTTTGCTTATTGTATTTCAGTTGAAGAATACAAGAATAATTTATGTTTGGGAGGCAGTATAGCATGGTAAGTAAGAGCGTAGGCTCTGGATCCATACTGCCTCAGACTGAATCCCAACTCTCTACTGTTAGCTTGCTGTGTGACCTTAGGCAGGTTATCAAGTTTTCTGTTTCATCATTTGTAAAATAGGGAATGAACTGGTACACGTAAAATGCGTAGAATGGTACTGACACATGATATGTGTAATTGTTAACTGCTATTGTGGTTACTCTTTGCTAAGAGCCTGTTGTTAGTTGCCGTCGATTTGCCTCCGATTCATGGAGACCCTGTGTACAACAGAACAAAATGTGACCTGGTCCTGTACCATCTTCTTGGTCGTATACTCGAGTCCATTGTTGCTACCACTGTGTATTTTGAGTGCCTTCCAACCTAGGGGGTTCATCTTCCAGCCCCATATCAGATAATATTCTGTTGTGATTTTCACTGGCTAATTTTTACAAGTAAGCTACCAGGCCTTTCTTCCTAGTCTTAGTCTGGAAAGTCCGCTGACCCTGCTAGCATTTGAAATACCAGTGGCACAGCTTCCAATATCATAGCAATGTGAAAGTCACCACAGTACAACAAACTGACAGAGAGGTGGTGGTTATTAAGAGCCGTGGTTTCCACTTGTGGCTGTGTATTAGAGTTACCTAGGAAGAGTATTAAAAAACACCATACGTGGTTCCCATCCTGGACCTCTTGAATCAAGCTTAATTGGGTATAACCCAGGCCTCATTATTTAAAGCTTCCCAGAAGAATCTGCAGTGCAGCCTAGGTTGGGAACCCCTGGTTCAGAAATCAGCACCTTTCTCTCAAACGAGAAAGATGGAAACTTAAGGGGTAAAAAGGCTATTTTGGTGCTCTGACATCATAGAATTAAGAACTCTGGAATCCTCTCAGAATTTGTTTGGAAACATTTATTGGCACTGATGTACACAGTGTCTTTCAGAACTATAATCAG